AAAAGACCGAGAGGATTCCTAGGTCTTTTACTTGGATACTTGTTCAAAAAAGATTGGCAATGACTGATTACCTCATACAAGTGCAAAATTCACCAGTGATCCTCACTTCTCCTGAGTTCATATTTCACAGAGCTAAAATAATAGTATCAAAGTAGACAAAGGAGCCACATTTAGACTTTTTTTCCCATCTGTGACTGAGAATGCGTAACAACAATGTGGAGAGTAATGACATCTGGATTTATGTGAGGGTGGTTTTATTTATTTGTGGACAAGTCTTTTATTTTGGACAAGTCTCTCTTTCCTCAGGACTTCTGCTGAGTGTTGGAATTGGGGGTGAAGAACAAATTATAGCAGCAGGGGAGATGGACCTCAAGGGCACCTGTGAGATGCACTGGGTCCCTGTCTGGAAGCCAGCACCAGACACCAACAGCTGTTTATCTTTGTTGGATGCTTGATGGGTAAAAGGAACACAGAGAGAAGATGAAGATGGATGTCTCAAGTCAGAAAGTCTGCAATGTGGGGGATACTTACACTGTGTAATGCTTTCTTTTCCCTCATGCACCCTTTCGCTTACAGGCTTCCTTACGAAGACTTCTCTTTTGCCAAGGGACTGGAGAGCCACTGCCGATGGCAGCTTCAGCAGAGGTTGGTGGGAGCCCTGGGAAACTGCTCCCAAAAGCCGGGCAGACAAGTTGTGATGATGTTGTGCCGGCAGGTCCACAGCTGAGTGGGGTCAGGAGGCCTCCTAGGCAAGGAGATGGGTGCCCCCCCAGTGAACATCTGAGAGAAGGAAGTTCCCAAGACAAAAGTGTTTGGGTACACATCATATCCTGACTGTACCGGGAAAGGGCAGTAACGCTAGAGGCTTACGGTTTTGCATGCACACAGGGACATTTTCTTTCTGTCCATAGTGTTTCAGTTCATGTCCCTTGGGCTGATTCACTTCATGGGATAGCCCTGAAAAATTCTCAGGACTGAAGTACTTGTGTTAAACTAGTTGCAACCAAAATATGTGGTTTGCAGGTCTTCATTGAAGTAATGACACCAAACAAGCATTTATACTGCAGGCTGATCATTCATTAAAAACCAGGAAATAAAATTTCTGCCGCCCTTTTTCTTTTTTTGAGATGATGGTGTTTATAGCAGAATAAAGTCTGTTAAAATTCATGAAAATTCAAGTAAATCAAATTTGTTTTGCAAGCTGAATATTAAAAGCAAATAAACTACTAACCAACCCTTTTCAGCTGTTTTTAAGGTACGTTTTTACCAACTCTTCTGTTACTGCTCTGGGTTTTTATACTACAAATAAGCATAGACACGTACCCAAAATGACTCATCTTTCTCAGAGCATATGTTTCATGTGCAAACTTCAGAAAACAGCTGTATTTTCAGTTGCCTCCAAATTTGTCACGTCTGTGGGGTTTTTGGTTTGTCTTCCTTTGATTTTCCTAATGATTTTGACATTTGTGCTAGGCACTTTAGGCCAGAGGAATGGTTCCTACACTGCTGACATGCTCCTGCACTACCAGCATTGAAAGAAAGGTTCTCATTGATTTCAGTGGTGTTAGATCAGGCCATTAGAGCACATTAAGTCTTTCATAATGAATGTTTTCATGACATATATTTTCCTGAATAAATAAATACATGTGCCGGCCTTGTAGCAGTGCACAGTTCTGTATCCATCAAAGTGACATAGACTGAATATATAGAGATTTACTTGCAAATTGAGATGAAACCTTGCAACTCTTTTATGTCTGAATCAATTTGCTGGTATGAACACAACAATATTCTATCCTAAGAACTGGTACTTAGTATTAAGTGTAATTTCCGCTCACGTGAAGGGCCAGTGTAATAGGATCTTTCTTCTTCACAAACAGTTTTAGCTGTATGAGGATTAGATATTGCTGCTCTGCACCATTCTGTCAGCAAGAAAGCCAGAGGAAGGAGCTAATGCAAGTCACGTGCCAATTCTTGAATAATTAAATAAAAATGCCTGGGATATATATGGATGCACAAATGAGACAAATAAATGATAGATAAGGTCTAAGATTCACTAGTTTAACATTAATCCCAAGAGTTGTGTCTCACATATGCTCAATTTGATGCCTAGCAGTTGGGAACAGGTTTTAGATTAAGCAGATAGAGGTAAGAGCACAAGCTGCAGTTTTTACTGCAATCAGAACAAAATATTCCAGACTTGCCTCAATAGATACCCACCACCATATAATTTATCAAAAATTATGTAAATACTATTTCCTGGCCTTGTTTTCCCTCAAACATGATCAGAAGCCACAGAAAGACCATTCTCTTTCAGTCATATATTAATTTTTGCCTACTGACTATTGCTCAAAGGGCCACAGGCTACAAAGTGATATGAACGAAATAATTTCTTACGTGTTCCCATTTTTGCCTGGAACAGAACAAAAATAGATTTAGAAGACTTCCAAGAGGAAGTTGTAAAATTGCTGTTCCTAAGTGGTATATGTGAATATATAAATTTCATGATAACAGAAAACCACACCTTTTTGAAAACCAAGCTTCGGCAAGAGCCCAGGCTCACTTGGGGATCTGGCTTCCCAAGCAGAACTGAATTAGTATGTTACTGCTCCAAACACAGCACAGGGAATGCTTTGCTGAGGGTCAAAGCAATGACTCTGGTTTATGGTATGAGCTGCATATACAGGTTTATTTTGACCATGAAAGAACACAGCAGTAAGCCAGAAAACAAAAATATGCAACCCAATCCCCACATTTTAATCTCCTTTTAAAAGTGTGCCATTTCCTTTATTTATTGGTAAAACCTGGAACTGTGGTTTACACAAAAAATGGTACAAATTACTAGTAGAGGAGAACAGACAACTACTTCTCTTAAGGAAAGTCTTTGCAGTCAAAATCACAACATGCAAATACCTCCTTGTAGTTCCAGGAACTTGTTTCTAATAGCTAATAAATCATACTTATGATTTGTCCTGCACTTCTCTATTAGCCTAAATTCCAAGGAAATCCCGAGAACACTTGCAAATCCCTGATGACCGAGAGAAAACAGGTATGGAGAGAAACCCCAAATGAGACATGGCTGTTACCAGTGTATCATTCAGAGTTGTCTGAAGTTTATAGGAAGCACATTCCATTCTATTTGTGATAATGGCTATATACAGCTATATATTTGTGTGATTCACTCAATCTCAACCATTGGTTTTTATTACTTTTCTTAATGTCAGTGAAGTAAGGAGTCTTTGGCCAGAGAAAGGCACACCGTTAAAAGAAAGGTGAACCAAACAACAAATCTTTCTGCTCCCTATCAAAACAACATCTGTTATTCACACCTCTACTCAACCACATCTCTAAAATGCCCTCCAAATAATTCTGGGCAATATATAGGAAAAAGATGCTCCCCAGAGCCAGTGTCTTGCTATATTTTAGCTTTATCCGGAAATTTTTTTGTTGCTCTTGAGCACCAGCCAAGTGAACAAAATAAACTTCAGCTGTGCAACATGTGACTCTTCCTTGGCTTAAACTTATGCCTGCATAGAGTGTTAAAATCTCAGAGATACAGTCCTGAGACCTATTTGTAAACTGAGAAAGGCTTCCTTTATATTGAAAAAAAATTAGATCAGCCCACAAAAGAGCTTTTCATTAACAATTTTGGTATTCTTGTGTTTTTGTTTCCTCAAAAGGCAACAGCCTCTGGTGATTAGCAGATTGAAAGCCAGCATTTTAAGTAAACAAATAAATACAGGAACAAATACAGTCAGTTTCTTTTCTACTAGCCTACCAGACTTCCCACCACGCGGAAAACAGATCTTATTTACTACGTGTCATCAATAAGCATAGTGCTGCAAGTAATAACTCACAAGAAAGTTTAGTTTATTCTGAAAAATATGGCATTTTTAACCAGGATGGCATATCATGCCTTATGAAAATGTTTAACTCAAGCAGCCTGGCACATGGTCCTAACCTTAGAGGGAAACCCTTTCACTGACCAGCATGGGTCATACCTAACCTGGGTGCTTGTGCCCTTTCGTAGAGAACAAAGATTTTGCAATGCATGAATCCATGCTGCTGTGGGTGTACACAGGATTACACCCATGTGTGAAGTCAGTGGATCAGGAGATCTGCTTCTGTGGGGCAAAAGTAACTGTTCCTTCTACCCATACATACCCTATGAAAAACAGCTGTATCCCAGTAATATGATTTTGGTGACATTAGTACAGCAGAAGAATCTGAGAGCTAGAGGCTTCCCAACTATTACTCTTCATCTTAACAGCTGTGCTACACTAAATCTACATTCCCAATGCCTCTTTTTATGTTCCTTTAACAAGGAAGCTAGATTAAACACAATAAAATTTAGAGTGGTATTTGAAAACAGATAAAAATATCACTAAATTTTTTAATGACTGCTCAGATCAGATTTTGCCCAGTTACTCTTCAGATAATGGAAACAGTTTCTAATCCTGGCAATCTCTAGTATTAGGTCCATATCTTAAGCATAGATATTGATATAATTATTTCAATATGCACACATTTATGGATTTATAAATTATATAATTTATGTGGGGCGACATTTCCTTCAACTTCCAAGAGTATCAAATCCAGTGATAATTATCAGTGTTAATAGCCTATCAATAAAATAGTTTATCTTTCTCTTTGGAAATTCTGTTGAGTAAAAGTGCAGTAGGCATTGTGTTATCAAACCCATTTTCTCATGCTGGAAGAGACTGGACCTCAAAACACAGTTCATGCAAAGGGGTGATCTCTTATAATAGGTCCAAGATTTTGTAAAATTTTGTAATTGTAACCAGCACTGTGACTTTCATTTTAATGTGACCAGGCAAAAAGTTAAAAAAAAATGAGACATGGCTGCTGAACACTCTTAATGTCACATCTCACTTAAGAAATGGACCACCTGGTGGTTCTGGTTGCTTTTCAAATGTAGTATCAAAACAAAGAGATTTCATAATCTGATTTGGGACTTCACATTGTTGCAGCAAGAGCCATATAAGAAAATGACTATCACAACTGTGGTGTAATAATAAATGTGAAAGGAAAAAAAAACCAAAGAAAAAAAGCATTACAACCTGTCTGCAGGTTGTCATTGTCATCTGTGATGCTGTTGTGTCTCTCACCTGCGATCTAAGGCCTACAACAGAGCTCACCCCCCCTCAGAGGCTGGACTAGGCTGAAATTTAGCTAGTCTGTGCTCTCTGCATACTCATAGAAACAATATGGTTCATATGGCTCAAAGTATTTCTCAACCAGGCATTCCTTTTACATGTCCCAGTGTTCAAAAAACTTCAAAGTGCATCTCATTTGCAAAATATTCTAGAATCATTGCTGCACTGCTTTTTATTTCTGTCTCTTTGGTCTTTAAACAGACCAAAGGGAACAGTCAGTGCTTTTGTAACATCCTTCTACTGATGCCAGGAAAAGGATCAATCTGATGGGCCACATCTCCTCACAAGTCTCAGGAGGTACCAGCTCATACCTACAACCAAAAACACCATATGTTTTTAATGTATATATATTGAAGTTATCTCAGTCAGCATATTTTTTTTCCTTACCACAGTTATACCCTGGGGAGAAACTATGTCAAGTATGAACTTCTACAGCTGTAATGAAGATATGGCAAAGCTTTTTTTTGTTCCTTTTATGGAACCAGAAAATTATTTTAGATGGAATATATTCAACTTCTGAAGTTTCTGCTATGTTGTATCTCATGCATCGGTTCTCAGCGTCCCCTAAAAATACAGAATGGCGCTCCGTATGGCCAGGCTACAGTTTATGTCTAAACTGAAAGAGCTGACAACAAAAAAAAAAAACAAACTAGAGAAATGCTTCTTATTTTAGAGACACATGGGGGAAATGATTCAGAAAATAAAAAGTCACTTCCATGTAAGCTTTTTAAGAAAAGGTTTCCCATCTAGAGGCAAGAATTTTATACCTAGAGGTAAAAATTTTGTAAAAGGTCATTCAGCTCTGCAGCATTTAGCTGTAAAAATGAAACAGTTCAGTAAACTTCTCCAAGGTAGCAGTCATGACTTTTGCTGAAGTGAGATGGACAGCAGGAAAAGCCAAGATCTAAGCTCCATCCTGGCTCAGCAGACAGCATTCACACAAGATCAACCAGGTTCATGTCTCTGCTCCCGCATGTTGGTCTCCTCCTTAAAGCACTTCCCAGGGGTATGTAGGTTGAATGGGATGGTTTGTATCTGATGAATTCACTATCAAACTTTCTTCTCAGGTGTTCTAAGAGTTCTACACATATGACTGATGAGGGAGTTTTGTAGGTGGGTCTTGCTTTCTCTCCCTTTCTAAGATCTTGTAAAGGGGTTTTGGTTTTATCCCAGTGTGGAATAGCAACACATTTTTAATCTCAAAAATCTTTTGGGACAAGGCAACCATTTCCTGCGCAGCTTTACAATTAATCACAGCACATCCTTCTTACAGTGTGTTACAGATAAATAATTCATTACAGCTGCTTCTTCCCTCCATGAAGGGTAGGCAGTTGTGATTATCATTTCTACAGGAAGAAGAGGAAAGTTAATTCTTTCTATGCCGGCCTCCAGAAAAGGATTTAGGCCCTCTCACAAGGAGCTTTGATGAATTAATAAACCTCCTCAGTATTTACCACACTTGTCCAGAAACTGAGCTCAGTTGGAGCTCCTTAATTTTCCAGATAACATCTTTAGAGTTTGAGAAGACTTGCCTAACCAGTGCCTACAGTCAAACCGTGAACAATTATTCTTATTTTCATTAACAAGATGGATCTGGATTTTGCTGCAGTATGAGCTACACAAATATCAGGATGAAACTTTACAGCCACCACTACTGCAAGTTGGAGTCATGACTGCTGCTTTGACATTCATGCTGTTTTGACAATGAAGTCCTAATCCATGCTTAAAAAAAAGATTTGTTAGTGTCTGGTAAACTAGGGATTAAAAAGATATAGACAAGTATGGAAACAGCCTATTAACACAGGTTGGATCCAAGGGAACCAAAGGCAGAGTTTGGCAGGAAGGGTAGAGGAAGGCACTGTGGACTGTGCTGTACCACAGGCAGGGAAGCCACGGCAAAGTCCCATTGACTGTTGTCTTCCTTCTGGAAGCTCCTGTTTACAGGGCTCTCTGATCTCAGATTATGTTTAAAAGCCAAATTGTGATCCCATAAAGCATAAACTATGTGAAACACATTGCTCTAAACCCATCACTTGCATGGAGAAACATGCTCCATGTGCAGCTGACACTGTCAGGGTCCTGGGGCATTGATGGGCCTGACCAGCCCCACCTAGGACCCCCCACCCCACCCTGTCCACCAGCCCAGCAGATCTATTTAAAGGTCAGCCCAGGGTAATTGTCCTTTTTGCCTACCCATAGTTCCTCCTTATTTGGGCTTTGACCTATGAGCTGATGTCCCTATCCCCATGGAGGTACCCGATGCCCTGGGCTGAAAGCAGTGGGATGGGCTGTAAAGGCTCTGCCCTGCCCTGCCCTGCCAAACTGCAGAGTTCCCCTGTGGAAGCTCAGGTAAAGGTGGGAATATTAAGGTCTGACTTCAAGATCTCAGCTATTTTAGAGCATGGGAAAGCTTCCTCAGCAGCTGCTGTGAATGACAGGGATATGCAAGAGCCTGGGGGCTTTAACACCTTCAGTGAGTAAAATAGTAAAGTTTGGCTTTCTGCACACCTGCTTTGATGTCTGCTCAGTGCAGCTGCAAGGATGACAGATGTGCTAAAATAGGCCTGGCACCCCTGAAAATCTGACCCTGCTGAATGAAAGAAGGCAATAAAGGAGGTGAGAAAGGGAGGAGAAAATGATTCATCTAATGGCTTTCATACAGTTTGTGATTGCCTGTTTGCTTTCAGCAATGCTATTCTTGTACCTCTTAAAACTCTATGAAAACTCTTTCTATCCTCATGTGGATTGCTGGAAATGCATCAGCATTGTTTTATTTGTCAATTAAGTATGCAGTATCTTCTGTAAGTGCAAAGTGGTGAATGTTAATACTCCGATTATTGCATCTTCGTAGCTGTTCCTAGAAATCATACCTTATCTTGTTTACACAACAATTAGACATCTTTGAACCTACCTTGAAAATAAGAGAATACTGTCAGCAGAATGTAATTAACATCAGTGTGAAAATCTATTGTAAGACACCTGAACTGTCACAAAAATAACTTAGTTTCTTACTCCATCATGGACACTACAACAAAACATACATGCCAGCTTCCCAGGGAAGTGCACTGGAGCTGCAGAGATGAGTTTGGCCTCAATTTTGAGTTCAGATTCTCATATAAAATGGTTTTTCCTTAGTAAACTCACAGAACTGTGTGTGTAACCTAAAAACTTGCAACTTGTCTCACGTTTGAGTAATTTTGGCACCATTTCTCATACTGAACAACAGTGGATTGCATGGGCTGATGGGCAGACACTTGCCCTAAAGGTATACCAAGTGCCCTGTGAAATCCATTTGATCATACTAGTCCAGATTCATCTGCTTCTGTTGTCTGTGTACTTTGCCAGACTGTTTAGTGTACAGAGAACCTCTGGCACAAAGTCATGCTAAAAACACCCTCCTGCTGCTGCCTGGCACTGGATGTGTTGGCAGAGAAGGACTTACTCAAGTCTTCCTTCATTGTAGACATTCCCAGCAGCCATAACTGCTCTTTAAAGACACTGACAGGCAGCATAATGCAGAGCAGCCCACAGGATGCCCTAAGTTACACCAGAGGCACAGCCTGGCTGTGGGCCAGGCGAGGAGAAGGCGTTTCAGTGAGGTTTTTTTTCCCCATCTCTCACTACTGCTTGGCCTATTCTCAAATTCCAGCCATACCACACAAGCAGTTTTCTGAGGTTTCACCCATCAGCAAAATTTCTGCACAGTTCTCTTTGAGACAACCATTGCTAATCAAATCTAGGACTGTCAGTACTCCTCCTGTGTCTTGGAAAGGCCTGGCTTGTTAGACACCTGCTCCATGGAAATAGAGAGCAGTGGTTTGGGCAAAGGTCCCCACTGGTGTGCTAAGAAAATGCACTGATGAGGTCTGTTGAGCAGCATGTGGCCTCAGTTGGTTGTCTTGGGCTGAAGAAAGGTTACACTGCAACACAGATCAACTCTGCAGTGTCCTCTACCCCCTCACCAGTGCTCTGAAGAGGAGTGTTTGCTGTCAGTGTTTGGCACATAATACCATTATATCCACCTTAAACTGGATTTAGCCCATAATTTGCTTCATGAACTTGAGAACTGTGTGTGACACCTAGCAGTGCTCTCAAATTTGGAGAAACTTATTTAAATGCTCCAATTTTCTGATGATTATGTTTAATCTTATGCATTGTCATACATATGGCTAGCTAGACTGTAATTTGAGTGGCTAACAATAGTGTTAAAAAGCAAACAGCTTGAAAAAATGCATGAGACCATGAGATGTATTGCCATTCCATAATTCTTCTTGTAAAATATTCCTAAAAATTATACCAGCAAAAGAATCGTACTGCAGGTATAGTTATGTGCTATGGATAGCCATATATTTTTAAAAATATTAACATGGAATAAAAGATATTAAAAGCTGTCTAAATAATAATAAGGGAACTAATAAGAATAGTCTTTTTTTTTTTCCTAGGCAGAATATTAATCCTATTCAAATTCCATTCTATTTAAAATGGCATGTTTCCTAGTCCTGTTTAACCAATGGACAGTTTAACCCTAGCATTTAATACCTTACATGGTAAAGGCAGCCCACGTGGAGAGATGGGCTATGGGAAAACTCTACTCCATCTTTTGAGCATGCCTGTGAAAGTACCCCTTATTAAGGGCTGACTTTCTGAAATGCAAAGCCCAAGGGACAGTGTAATTCTGCCTTTTAGTTTCCCTTGAAATCCTATCTGAAAGTGCATCCTTCTCTCCACACTGAAATCAGAGGGAATAGCACCTTGGGGTCTCCTGGTAAGCCCTTAAGATCTATGAAAGCTGGGGATCTTTCCATGGCATGGAACAAGAATTACCAGAAAGAAGTTTGCTAATGATGAAGCCAGCTGAAGAAACGATTCCCATGCAGGTCCTGCAGGAAGCCAGGCTCACAGCAGTGATGCATTTCCTCAAAAAGCTGGGGGAGGAGAGAGGCATATGGAATAAAGGTGAAGGTGGTCAGGGAGTTGATTTCATTGCTGCCAGCTATCATCACTGGAGATCTCCCTGGAGGATTTCCTACAGGGCACTCTGCTAGAACAGTCCTTTCAATGGGAGCAAGAAGGACTGGGAACGCAAAAACAAAAACCACTGCTCCAATCTCCTGTCCCAGAGACAGATGCCTGAGCATCTGTGTCTTGCTGCTTGTTGGAGGTATGGCCTGAGCACCACTCACTTTTTGTCCTGTTTTGGCTAATTGTTTGGATTTGTCAACAGATTTCTTTTGATATGTATTTGTTGATACTTGCTAGATTACTTCCTGATTTTTGCACCCTGACTTAGCATAACCCACCTCCATTTCTGGAGATGAGTTCTTTGCATCAAACTGAGCTCTACAGAGAAACTTTATTTTTTGGTTGGGTGCTAATATATTAATTTGGCCTAGCTCATACCTAGTTCAAGCTCAGCCTTTTGCACCATGTCTTGTGTTTTTAGCCTTCTAAATACTGCTGGTGATGAAAGGACTCAAACAGCACACACCAGTTTAGTTCAGACTCTTGTAATCTCTTAATACAAAGCCACTCAACTTCTCAGGACTGCTCAGAGTTTCTGTAATTTCAATGCTATTCAACTTGCAACTGTAATTAGAAATGGAGCTTTCATCAGCGTTTTAAAAGCATCAGTTCTCTTCCACATCTGTTTCCAGTCCTCAGTCCATTGTTACAGTGTATTTACTGGCTCTTCTGCTATTGCTAGTGCTCTAATAGCCTGCTTCCACTATTACGTGAAAAATATACTTAGTAATAATAGTAAGTGTCACCAGAAGATTTTCACATACTTTGTAAACATGAATACATTTATATAGCCCATATTTTCTCATACTTCAAATATTTAAGATTTTACCTTACAAGAGTGACATGTGCCATCTGTCCTTCACAGTGAGAAAGTCTTATTTGATAAAATGAGATAATTCTTACTAAAATGTGGCTAAAGAAATGAGGATCAAGAGGCACTGTAGAACGGAACAAGTATTTTACATATCCTTTATTGTCTCTGCAGTCAACTTATTGGGTATGTAATTTTATAGCATTTTCCAAAACTTTAGGTAGTCTTAATATTATAGAATTAAGACTAAGAAATTAATGGTTGTTTAAAGGCAAGGTGTACATTTCAAAATGCAGAGTTTGTCTTCTGGAATTAAGATTCCCAATTTGGGATGACGAAAAGGCAGCTGTACCCTTCAGTGATAACCTATCGTCCCCAGGACACCTCAGGACGCATTTCGGAGTTCTGTTCCCGCTCCCCTCGTGACTCCGTGCCCAGGTGGAGAGCGCCGGCTGAGCGGGCAGTGCCCCGCGGGGACGGCCCCCGGCTGTGAGTTCCGGAGGGTCTGCTCTCAGGCTGGGATCACCGAGGAGCGCGACCGCCGCTCCCGGGTGCCGGGCACTGCCGCGGGCCGGGCTCTGCCCGGCACAGCCCGGCGGGCTGTGCCGGGCACTGCCCGCGGGCCCGGCTCTGCCCCCGGCACAGCCCGGCGGGCGGTGGCGCCGCGGGCCCCGCCCCGGCCTCCGGATGCAGTCGCGGCCCCCCCGGCAGCGCGGCGCCCAGTTCCTGTGCGTGTCCTTCGGCCCGCCCGCCCTCCCCCGCGACAGTCGCTGGTGGCCGAGGCCTTCGTGACTCAGCTGGCCGGTGAGGCGGGGCGGGGCGGGACGCCGGGGCCGCGCCGGGACCCGCTCCGTGCCGGGCGCCGCGCTCCGGGCCGCGCTCGTGGGGGGGGCGGCGGCGCCCAATTCCCGCGGCCTCCGCGGCCAGGGTGACCCCGCGGGACGGGGCCGGGGCCACCGCGGGGAAGCGGCTGGGGCGGCGGAGGGCGGCCGGCCCGTGCCGTCAGAGAGCGGCGCCTGGGGACGGGCACAGGTCACCCCGCACAGCTCCTCACTGGACAGGGCTCCCCAACCCAGGCTGTGCCGGGGAGCATCGTCACTGTGATGTAATAACTTCCCTGTCTGTGAAACTACTTAATTTGCTTAAGTGGTGCAAGAAAAGCACGTCGTGGTTATAATTCTCTGAGCTGGAGTGGAGTCCCGCTGTGCAGGAGAGCTCAGTGCGGCGTCACCCCCTCCCCGAGCCCCGCGTGTGACCTGTGCCCCCCCCCGTAAGGCTGAGAAGTGTGACGGGACCTTTGGTACCTGTTGGTGCTGCTGTGACCCGCTAAAGCTGGGCTGTGCAAACTAGACGTAACCTGTGAGATAAAACACAAGAGTGCCTCACTGGGGAGTTATTTAGCAAAAAACAGTATTAATATGCTCTGAAAGAAAAAAAGCAAAACATGAACCTTGGATAATTCCTGGCTAGGAAATTCAAAATACAGTTAGTATGTTGCATGCTGGAAATAGGTCTTTGGTCATGTTTCACCTCACTTGTTATTCTCTGGTTTTGATTTGTAGCTGCAACACAGCTCACAAACAATAAATACTGCAAGGGAACAGCATTTTGATTGATACTGACCAGTTGAGGAGTAAGGTGGGATTTTATCCCAGGAGCTGGGTCTTCTGCCACTTGGTAGAGGCTCAAACATAAGAGTCTGAATTGGATTCTCTACTATGAATGTACCCTGACATGTAGGTCATGTGAAGGTGGTGGATCTTTAATTTAGGTCTGCAGAGGTACCCACAGATAAGCTTGAAGGTTGTGCTGGCCTCTTGAGTTGTCAGCTGTTAATTCATAAATGTTAGCACAAGCCATACTTATGTTCTGAGGGGCAGAGCCCTGGATCATCAGGATATGGAGGATATGGTCATGATCAGCATTGCTTCATGCCTTTAATGATCTCTTTAGTATATTTTATTCATTTTGTCATTAAGGCTAATGATACATGTGAATAGATTTTGATTCTCCTGCCTTCCTCTGCTCTGTGACCTTTATGAATATTCTAGAGTGACAGCCTCGGCACAAACTGAAACATAGAAAACACCATCTGAAAAATTGTTTTCGGTGTGAGGGTGATCTAACGTTGTAACAGGTTGCTCAGAGCAGTTGTGGAGTCTCCATCCTTGGAGATTGCTCAGTATGGAAGTGGAGATGGGCAACCTGCTGCAGCTTACCCTGGACCTCCCAGAAGTGCCTTCCAGCCTCAGCAATTCTGTGACCATCAGTTGCTCAGCCGACTTGCACTGCTGTAATAAAGCAGCACCCTCTCTGTGCAACACTCTTTCACCTGAACATGCTGAGCAGAGCCTGCTGCTCTAAGGCATCAGTGATTAAATACAAAGTGATGACTGAATCACTTGGAGTGTAATGCTTGCATTAGTGTGGCATTCAGCCATTTGCTTGTTCAGAAATATAGAGGTTGATACTGTGTCTCAACTGTAGAAAATATTAACTGAATAATATGATGGAGAATTTATTTAGAGCAGCTCAGCATCAGCCACATATTAACAGGATAGGAAATGAGCGTTGAAGAATTAGAGTGCCAGCTTTCAAGTGGTCCACAACATTAATCTTTCTAACTCTAGTAGTTTTGAGAAGCTGACTGCGCAAATCATCTCTAAAAGATTGGTGAAAATATGTTTAATTGATCACTAAATTACTCCATATGCTTTACCTTTTTTTTTTTTCCCCAAAACCACTGGTTTCAGATCAGTGATCAAAAGAGAGAAAATAATATCCTTGTTTGTCCTTTGATCTCTGGAAAATTACTTCTGTTTATTGCCGTTATGTCCAAGGATCCTAGGCTAGTTTTAGTACTAAGGGAAATGAATCCAGTTTGAAAAACAGATGCCCTTCTGCCTTTAGATATTTTACATTCATAGTGAGTCTACCTCCAATGTGACATGCCAGAGCACAAATAAATCTTTGATGTGCATGTTTTATGTATTGAGACAAGCTGCAGTTTGGCTGAGAACAAATATATAGGGAATGAATCCTGACCACCTAAATTGTTGCCACACATAAAGACATAAAATTTAAACTGAATATACATTTTGTGCATCAAAATGTGCATAGATAAATGATAGCATTTCCTGCATGTCTAAGGTGAAAAAAATAGTTAATCTTGCTCAATAATAGGTTGTTGGCAGCACAGATTGTTTAAGCCTGCTGCAGAGGTGCTTGTAGTGAAAAATTTAAGTTTGAAAATACCAAATTTGTCAGGCTATGTGATTTTATCTTACAGCATTTTTTATGTATGGGCTTCTCTTTTGGTAGTCAAGCTACAAGGAATCCTTCAACTCTTGTTCAGTTTCAATAAGGAAGTCTCTTATGCTGCTCCTGCCAACTTTTGCTCAGACATGTTTCATGACTTGATTTGAACTAATCCTTTGAGTGGATTGCCTATCCAGTCTTTTTTTTAGGTCAGGGAAAACATTACTTTCACAATTATTATAGTACAGTACATATTTCATTTTGAGATATTGCTATTTCCTGTTTTTAAGCAGCAGTATAATTACAGTTTCTAATAGAGTATGCTTCTGTAGATGTTTCTGGCTTCATTAAGACTAAGCAGTCTTTTTCTAATCAGCATTTTATTGTTACATGTTTTCTGCTAAAACAATGTCTTCTTTTCTCATACCAGAAATGAGATTGGTCTCAAAATAACAGTAACAAAATTAGTAAAATAATAGTAACACCTGTATGGTATTGTCCAGTTTGAACTGCACGTGAGCTTTCATTGGCTGATGAAACCAGGACAGGAGGTTTGGATGAGAGTGCTGTTCAGGAGCTCAGCTCAAAGAGGTCATAGAGGAATGACTTTGTAGAGGAATTAGATTTTTCTGCTCTTTCTCACTCCTTTTTTGTCTTTGGGTCCTTGGATGTTCTGTTCTCTGATGGTCCTCAAGCACTAACATGGTCTGTTCCTGTAGGTTTGGACCGTGTGAGTCACTTTTTTTTTCAAAACAAGAATGAATGAAAGAGCTTGGTTGCTGTCCTTTGCTCTAGTCGAACAGGAGTCACATGTTGCTGCGTTGCTGGGCATTTGCAGCTGTCTCTTTTGAAAGTGAGAAACTGCAGCTGCATGCAAGCCATGGGGAGGACAGAGAGAAAGTACATGCCAGGTTCTGAATTTTATTATTATTAATTAATTTATATTATTATTATTATTACCTTTAAATCCTGGTCTTTAGTTATTAGGAAGATCACACAGATGTCGTATGAACATGGATGTTTTCATACAAACTGGAAGAAGTTATATGTAGTAATAAAGCCTGTGAAATGATGCTGCAAAGAATGCAGGAAAAGTCTCATTGGGGACGGGGGAAGCCCAGCCAAAAAAATTGAAATGTACATACTGAATTGGAATGTAAAAATGCTGAGAGATGGGAATTTTTAACAGTTCTGCCTTCTAGCTGTGGTGTAATGACATTGAAACCTATGCAGTGCTTGCAGTCCTAGCAAGAACTTTCGAAATCCAACTGCATGTGTATTTCTTTTTGCATTTGAATGCCATGTTGGATAAACTTTGGATGCACTGGAGTGTTCTCACTGAAAGCCTTGGAAAAGGAATGAGGAAGACTGTGAGGATATGATTAAGAAAACAGAATAAATGTTTTGAAGTAGGGAGTCTGCAGTGTTTCCCAGAGGTGAGGGGTGCTGGTTTGGGCTAACTGTGAGCCCTAAAGCAGCCTCTTCCCCCTTCCTCGTGGCGATGCTTGGCTGGCTGACTGCACCAGTGCTAATTGTTTGCATTTCTACCCTGCAGAGCTCTCCTGCCTAGAGATCTCAGCTCTTCTTACACCTTTGCAAGACTGGTGCTGGTTTGTTTAGGGCTGTGGGCAAGATAGGAAAGAGAGAGTGAAGGGAAGCCTTAATCAAAGGCCAGAGGGGCTGGGGCTGGGTGAGCAGGAACTGTGTGTGTGGGAAGCAGCTTTTGGAGCAGGTATGGGATATTGGGGTCCTGTCTGGTGGGATAGATGTGTTGGATCCTTATTGTTGATGAGAAAGCAAGGAACTCCTTACGGCACTTTGCAGAAGCGGTGGTCAGACTGCCAGCAAATGTCCTTGGGGAGGGAGGAGTTCAGACTACCACAGAGAAGAGGGAATCTCAATCTATGAAAGCTTTCAAAGGACTGATTTAAAATATATGAATATAGATATCATGGCTAAGAAATGTCCCAATCCAGAAAGGCACTTAAGACATTAATGAATTACCTCCACTGTCCTGTTCTTCACAGCTCCTGTGTGTGAAGTTTGACTTCTTGGGTCAGGGGCAAATGACTGGAGTAGCACAAAGCAAAGGGATTGATTTAGAGATCTATAAAAAGCTAATATTAAGAATTACAGAGCTTCTTTGAGGTGGAGCATTTATGCCAAATATCAGAAATAAGTAAAATAGCTCCAGCTTGTCAGGACTTTATAAATAAATCTTTTGAGATCATTTAGCTGGCATGCTCTCTGATTTTCCTGAAGATGTTCCAGATGTTG